AATTGCTTTTAATATCCTCTTTAGTGATGATAATTCCAGATATTTGCAACCAGCTATTGGGTCATGACTCATGACAGTCACGTAAATAAAATAAAAAAAAGTGGTTTTCATTAATTGAAATCACATATTTGGAAAGAAAAAGAAAAGAAACAGACATATATCTGAAATTAAAGTGATTTTCTCAACAAGAAAAAAAGAAAATCATGTGATATGATAATTGCTTACAAAAAGATTTTGTTTTATCTGTGCATGTGATCACCCTTGGGAATATGTCTAGGCCCAAATCGAAGTATTAAATTATTAAAATAATAATAATAATAATAATAATAATAATAATAAATTAAAAAATCTACTCGATCAATCAAGAGGTTTCCTGCATGCATAATTAATTTTGTTTGAAGAATCACACCAATGCCCTTGAATTATATAACCATCTAAGGCCTACTGTTCAAGTGGGCATTGGTCTTATATTCCCTAATAGGTTGCTCGAATGGCGGGCTTCTCACCCAAGCTGCAATCAAGTTTCCAAAATTTCTTCAAAGGTTGGTTTGACGCCAGTGGCCGAAGGGCAGAAATTGGTACTAATATTTCGCCTAACATTTGGTCAATGGAAATTTTGCCCATCCTACGCGTAATGCTCACTAGCTTCATGCTACAACAAAAGAAAATGTTTAGAATATGTTTGGATTAGCTCGAGTGGTGAAGGTGAATGAGAAATGAGTTATTTTATTACCGATCTCTCTTGTACTCGATCACTTTGTCAAGTATCCTTCGTCACCCTAACAACTTCACCGGCCGGTCGGATTCTCATTAACTGCGGCAAACACCAGCCTCACCTTCTTCCTTCCAAAAATCATGGTTGATGACTTGTAGGAAACTAAACTTTAAAGAACTTACAATTTAAGGGCAAAAACCCATTAAGAAAACCCCAAGGAACCTCTTGTAGTGTCTGGCATCAAATGCCTTAATTTAACTCATTGATGTGTCCAAAAACAAAGGTCTCAATGACTGACAAAAGAACATTAAAAAAAAAAAAAATGGCTTAGATGGCTACTAATAAACTACCAATGGCCTCTTTATCATGTCCCAAGTACTATATATATTCATAAATAATAGACGTGTCAAAGTGTTCATGATGGTAAAAACCTATAGTTCTCAAACATGATAATGGCCAAGCAGTCCCCACCAAACGTGGCCATCCTCACCTCTCCAAGACATGCAAGCCACACACACAATACCTAAAGGCTTGTCCATTCCGGTAAAGATTTGAAATGGTTAAAGCACTTTTTACCCCCAAAAAAGATAAAGGTTAGAACTTAGAACACTCTTGTGAAATATACTTTTTTTTTATTGGATCTTGTGAAATATACTTGAACAACGTATAATCTTATAACATAAAATTTCCTCACACTACTTAAAAAATTGAAAAAATGATGGAGAATCATTAGTATTGTCTTTATTATTTTGAAATTATTAGGTTCTTTTTTATTGAACTAAACCCGTTGACAACCATATATTGTTTAAGCTTGAAAACTTAAGATTTATATTGTTGGAAAATTTGGGAAGAGCTAGAAAACATTAAGCTAGCGTCTTTTTTTTTTTACCGTGTTTTAGATGTACGACGTTTCCTTCTTGATAATTGTCGCTGTACCCCTCAAATTCAACCCAATACAATTTACTTTTATCAGTCCCCTACCATCATAGTCATGCTTCTACTTTTTAGATGTTCCATTGTATAGTCAATGTCATGCTTTGCAGTAGTGACCAAAAAACAAAATTTCTGATACCAGTAATATCTATCGTTAAAGAGTTTAACATATTATGTTGTCAGATTGTTAAATAATGTCGTTTTAATCCAATATAAGTATATATGCTCTTGATGAAAATTTGATCGCATATAATATATGAGGTTAAATTGTTTGGAAAGAAAACAATAGCCTTCTGTAGTTATAGCTGTCTCTCTCTAGGGCAAAGATGGAGACAGAAAGGAAGAAAAGCTCGCACAAAACTTTCAATTTCAATGTTTAGGCTAAGGAACAATAATGCTTCAAAATCAAAACCAGATCCATATCGAAACCGAACTATTTGTTGATACCGATAGGGAGGGTCCATTAATAATATATGTATATTATGTACTGTCCCGAAAACAAATTCAGCCTGCAAACAATAATGCACAACTGCCCAACTCTCTCAAATCGTCCATACGATTGGATACGACTTGGTTCTTGCCAAGCACTTCATTGGTGCCCCCACATCAGTTGGATCAATTCAGGACTGACTGTAGCTGGGGCCCCGTTTACCTTGTCCCACATTTAGCATATTGCACTTGGGTTCGTATATATGGTTGGTTGGAGAAATACTTGTGTGAAACGGGTCAATTATGACATTTTATGCGTGATAATTTATTTACATGGTATTTTGTGGTTGATTAGAAATAGCAAAACAATACTTGTTAGCGGGGCCATCGCTATAAATTTTTTTTTCTCCATAATGCTCAAAATACCTTAGGTCGGAGGCATCAATGCCATCTCAAGCCTACATGTGGCTTTGCAACTAGTTGTTAGTATGTGAGATTTGATTAACAGTTTGACAACGTAACATGTCAAATATTTAAGAATTATACTATTACTCAAAATAATTACTCACACATGCACGTTGATGACTTTAATTATTCATACATTATGAGACTGTATAAGTGACTTTTAGCCATTAATATATATATTATACGCTATTAATAGAGTGACTGTCCCTAACATCCCTCAACATTAACATTACAGTAGAGATTGTTGGTTGGCTTCCCAATTGACAACTGCCTAAGTATAGTTGATCCAAAAAATATTGTCCAAATAGAGAGTTAAAATAATTGATTTAGATCTAAAACCATGGCAGCCGCACCATGAGTCCATGACCATGCTAAAGCTTTAGTTTATGTGGGTTGGCTCACGAACCGAGTTAAAACCTTCCCTCCTTCCCTGCCCATGTGGGTGCATTCGTCGCCTAGCAAAAATTTGCATAGGATTCAAATGCATGTAGACTTGGCCATGGCTGCCACGTGTATGCCGGTGTAGCATCCACGTGGTGACGCCCTCGGATGCCTTTTTTTTTGGCTGTGGAACTAGAATAATAAAAAAACAGACAATAAAAATACAGAAAACAACACAAGTAGATTGTAGATCTATGGCTGTCTCATGAACCTACAAAATCTAAACCATTTTTTTCCTTCTTTACTAAATAGCACAAAAATGAAACGGCAACACCACGCTCACTTTGAGCGCGTGTATTATTAGCATTTGGAAATAATTTCCCGTCTTTGTTCTTCAATTGGGAAGAGAAATTCTATACAAAATACAAAATAATAATTGTCCGCAGGACCTGCACTGAATTTTAGAGAATCAAATGCAAACGGATATGATACTCAATAGTAAAGGTTCTTCGATGGAAGATCATGAATTTGAGTCATAACATCCGAATAACGCGTGTAAATTTAGAACTTAGACGGTGTCATTATTTCTGTACAACTTTTGTTATTGTTATTGTTTTATCTCTTTATGTTTTTGGAATTTTGGAATTTTCTGAAAAAGACTTTATTCACGTAGGGTAAATCTCTCAGACTTTTTATTTTATTTTTTGGTGTTGATTGATTGATCCCCTTCTACTTCTATTACTTCATAAGCCACCCCCCACGTGTTCTTGTTAATTGTAATGATATGACCCGATTTTGCATGCACATTAATTAATCTCACGATGTATGTATAAAGAAATACAATAACTGTTTGATTTCTGGTTGCAATTATTTTAACTTTCTACTTAAAATATACAACTAAAGAAGGAAATAGTATTTCCACCTGTTTCACTGTTACCTTATAATGAGGAATGCAGATACAAATGTTTAGGTATATCTATTTGTTTTACTAAAAAGAAAAGTATATGTTTGTAATGAAAAAGAAAAAGAAAAATGCACTAATAGTGGCTTAGAAATACTAAATCAAGTGAAGGACCTTTCACTAGTGTAGTGGTTTGGAGTAATTGCTCTCTTAAGTAAGGTCATGGGTTCGAGTCATAACATCTGTGCAATATGTGTGAGTTTAATATATTATTGTCCTCTCGATATTTATTCAAGGGCAAGAGGAACTTCATCCAATCATTCATGGTGAGTTTTCAATGAAGAAGCTTTCCACATAATGAGTCCAATTTTATTAGCATTTAATGAACCAAAAAGATCCACAAAACTTAATTATCTTGCCAAAATTAAACTAGTACAATATCTTAGGGGAGGCCATTTATAATGGACATAATGCTTTACCTACAAAAATGGTATATGAAATCAATTCAGCATCTGCTTTCCCTATCTTTGGAGAAATGTCCTATTTGATCGAAAATTTGTGATAGCAATTTAATTTATCAAATTAATGTGATTTTATTTCTCGCTCTATGTTATTTTAGTTATTTTTGCTCGTCGCAATAGAAGGGAATCGAACATTTAACCTAGTATGGTTTTAAAAAAAAGGGTAAATATTTTTAACTTCCAAAATAAATTTATTTATGGATTCTCGTTTTGGTTATTAAAAAGTTCTACGCTAATAATAATACTCTTCAAATTACAACGTGTTCTTCCAAAACGATGTCGTATAGTAGCTGTCTATGTCACCAACCTCGAACTCCAAGTGGTTGACCGTATGAAAAAAGAAACAAAATACAATACATAGATTTTCACGTTCGTATGTCTACTCTTACACCGTATTTCTATACCTGTCTCTCTGCGTGTGTCTTTGTCTCAGTGTCTCTGTGCGTCATTTTCTCCAGCAAACAAAATCCATCAAACTCTCCCTCTCTCTCTCTCTCTCTCTCTCTCTCTCTGTAACGCTCATCAGCTCTGTACTTCCTCCTTCCCATTTCACACACTACACACAAACCACATACACTTTTACACAAACACTCACAGCCTCTCTCCCTCTCTCTCTTGCTTTCTCTCTCTAAATGGCTGAATCTCACTCAAGAAGATGAAAATACCCAGCAAGCCCCGCCACCCCTCGCCGACATTCCCACCACCAGACTCGGATCTTCACCCACCCAGGCCCAGCAGCGCTCGCAGAAAGACCCGAGCTCCGGGTTCGGCCCGGTTGAAGCGGGCCGGACTCCCGACCGGAAAGCGGAGCCGACCCGAGACGCCTCTGCTCAAGTGGAAGATCGACGAAGTCCAAGAAGACCGCCGCGGGGATAGAAGAAAAGACCAAAATGCCCCTGAGGAGGAGAGAGAAGACGGGGGGAGGAGGAAGGGCAGGAAGGGAAGAGAGGTCGCCATGTCGGCCAGGAAGCTCGCCGCCGGGCTATGGCGGCTGCAGTTGCCGGAAAATGTTTCAGGTGTACCAGGGCGGAGTGGTCAGCTAGGGTTTCAGGTGAGTTTGGTCTCGGAAGTTATCTTCTTTGCGGTCATCAAAGATCTGAAAGTTTTTGGTAAAATGGGTCTTCTTTGAAACCTTGATGAAATCTCATTTCATTGGAGTTTGACCTTTTTTTATTTGTCAAAAAGTTTATTTATTTATGTATTTTACTTTTGAAAAAAAAAATATGGTTAATGCATTTGGTGTTGTTTAATTTGCAATTTTAAGTTGGATAAAGACTATTGGTGCTGATATTTGTGGTACTGTTGTTTTTTTTCTTTTTCTTCATGATATATATATCTTGGTTTTTATTTTTAATTTGGGGTTTAAGAAACCAAGCATTGTTACTCAAGATTTGATTGATCTTACAAAGGAAGAAAAAGCCTTCTCTGGGTTGATTGATCTTACAGAGATTGTGTTCTTTAAAGCTTTAGAATGAAATGGTTCTCTTTGATCTTTTTAACATGATGATGATTGTGTTCTTAAGTGTTTAGGATGAAATCTGTGTTGAGGTGGTAATGCTTGTGAGTTTCCATCAATGTCCTGCTGAGTATCTCTTAGTTGGTAATTAATTGGTTTTGAGATATTTTCAGACCTGCTTTCTTAAATAAGATTCGTGACGTTGCTTCAAGTTAATCTGAATGTATTAACATGGAACTGTGAGATATGGTGATACAGTGGTAGGACATTTATGCATTTCTTTGATGCATTATGAAAATTCCGGGTCGTTACACTTTTCTTTGATATGTTCTGAGATAGTCCTTGCGTGCTGTTTTAGCACATCTATGTCATAATATGCCTTAATCTCAACTTGCCGGTAATTTATGCTGTTGTATACTGTGGATTTTGAGTTTCAATGTTGTTGTCTTCTATGCAGCCTGACGTCGGCCATATCGGCGTACCGTTTCTCCGTAATCGCAACAGCAAAGCATATGCTTCTGAAGCAAATGATTTTTTACAAAGCCCTAGGTCTACCTCAAGGAATGGATTCTTGTCCAAGGTATGATTCTTCCTTGATCACTTACAATGAATTGTCAATGATCTGTAAATTCTGAATGAGCATCATACGTTGTGAACTTCAGTACAATATGATCCCTTTATTGTCTTGTACACGTGTCACACATGCTTAGCTCCATTTAAGTCAAGCTCCCTGGCAGAACTTGCTGTAGATGACTTACTTTCCTGGGATTGATGCTATATACTTATTAAGAACCATCTCCTTCGGGAATAAAATAAAGTCAAAGATGGTAATCCAATCATCTTTCTTGTTTTCCACATGAATAGAATGTTATGGAAAATATAGAAGCAGTGTTACTCTTAGGATTTCCCATGTGGGAATATGTATTTAAACATAGAAGCAAATACACATTAATGCTCATATTTGGATGGAAAATAAAGAAGAAAAGCTTTACTTGTATAAGAAATTTGGTGTGTATACCATATTCTTTTAATTGAATCAAAAGACGTAAGGTCTTTAATTAGCAACATTGTCTGATGGAAAACAAGGGGGAAAATATGGAATTTTGTGAGAGGGAGAAGCATAACAAGGCTTGGTGGACTTTCCAACTGTAGAGAAAAGGGAGAAATATGAAAATTTAATGTTATATGTGATTTATTTTCTATTAATGTCTTTTTTCTCAACCATTAGATCAAATATGGACGACTGAAATGCGTTCAGGTGCACCTCAGCCGGCTGGGAAGCATGTCCTTTTTAACTATCTTATTAGAGAGTAACTCATATATATTTATTTAAAATTCTAGAACAAGCAGTTTAATCTGTTTAACTTTTTTCCTCTTTTCCATTGGTTTCTCAACATCTCTTATTTGAGATCTGTTTTCCCCCTTGAGCAATTTAAGGTCTGTTTTTTTTTCTTTTTGCCTCTAATTTTTAGCTCAAACGTTAATTTCAGTTATCCAATTCTGCCATGGAGGGGCAAACAAAATGGGATCCTGTCTGCTTGAAAACATCAGATGAGGTACGACAAATTTACAGCCAAATGAAGCTTCTTGATCAACAAGCAAGTGCTGCATCAGTGGTATCTGTACTTGAAGCTGAGTTAGAGCAGGCTCGAGCTCGAATTCAGGAGCTTGAGATGGATCGGCGTTCCTCAAAAAAGAAACTCGAACACTTCTTAAGGAACGTCAGTGAGGAAAGGGTTTCATGGAGGAGCAGAGAGCATGAGAAAGTCCGTGCATTTATTGATGACATCAAGGCTGAACTGAACCGGGAAAGGAAAAATCGTCAGAGAACTGAAATTCTCAATTCCAAATTGGTTAATGAGCTTGCTGATGCCAAGTTATCAGCAAAGCGATACATACAGGACTACGAAAAAGAAAGAAAGGCGAGAGAATTAATTGAGGAAGTATGTGATGAGCTTGCTAAGGAAATTGGAGAAGACAAGGCTGAAGTTGAAGCATTGAAGAGAGAATCCATGAAACTCAGAGAGGAAGTGGAAGAGGAAAGGAAGATGTTACAGATGGCTGAGGTCTGGCGTGAAGAACGTGTTCAAATGAAGCTGGTTGATGCTAAGGTGGCAGTTGAGGAGAAGTATTCTCTGATGAACAAGCTTGTGGTAGATCTAGAGAATTTTCTGAGGACAAGAAGTGCAACCCCAGATGTGAAGGAAATGAGAGAAGCAGAGTTTCTTCGACAGGCTGCTGCTACCGTGAATATTCAAGACGTCAAGGACGTTTCTTATGAACCCCCCAATCCTGATGATATCTTTTCCGTGTTTGAAGAGGTTAATTTTGGTGAGCCTAATGAGAGGGAGATTGAGCAATGTGTTGCCTACAGTCCTGCTAGCCATGCTTCCAAAATTCGTACTGTGAGTCCCGAAGTTAATGGAATCAACAAGGACCGGATCCAAAGACATCCAATTGCATATGTTGGTCATAATGGTGATATTGAAGAAGATGAGAGTGGATGGGAAACTGTGAGCCATCTTGAGGATCAGGGCTCAAGCTACTCACCAGACGGGAGTGCCCCATCTGTCAATAAGAATCGCCGAGAGAGTAATGTCTCAGAGAGTGGAACAGAATGGGAAGACAATGAAGGTGAGGAAACACCAATCACTGAAATCAGTGAGGTTTGCTCGGTACCAACAAAGCAGATTAAGAAGGTATCATCAATAGCAAGGCTTTGGCGATCCGGCCAAAATAACGGGGACAACTACAAGATAATCTCTTTAGAGGGAATAAATGGCAGGCTTTCGAATGGAAGGATATCTACTGGGGGTATCGTATCTCCGGATCAGGGTTCAGGTAAAGGTGGGCTTAGCCCCTCAGATTTAGTGGGGCAGTGGAGTTCTCCCGAGTCAGGGAATCACGTTCGAGGAATGAAAGGGTGCATTCCTCTTGGGGCGCAGAAGCATAGTTTGAAGGCAAAGCTTTTGGAGGCAAGGTTGGACAGTCAAAAAGTTCAATTGCGTCATGTGCTCAAGCAGAAGATCTAGAAGTAGTGAGGCAGAGCTTGCTCATCCAAAATACTCACAAACCCGGACAAAAATAAGTAGTTCCATTTCTCACCGTGCAAGGTACCAACTTTCTGCTACTTGAAACTGCTTGCATGCGATGGGGATGAAGAGTCTGAATAATGCAGATGATAATGGACTCTCACATCTTGTTTCCCAATTTACACCCATAATTATGCTATGCTTACAGTTCCATGATAATCTGGATGAACAACCAGGCTAGGTTATCTTGTGTCATATGAGGGGCTGTTGGTTCTGCTTGTTTTGGGGGTCTTTGCAAGTGATCCAGAAATCAAGTCATTATTTGTATCATTTTTAGTCTAGAGGACACCATTTGAGGAAAATGGGAGACAAACGAAAACATTTCCCTATCTGTAATATGTATTTTGTTATGAGAAATGTTCGATTTAGTTTCTTGTAGGAAATGGAAAATCTCTGGTCCATGTGATTTGGGAAATATAGGAACTAAGACCGACAAACCATACTGGTTAAAAGCGCTAGTAACGTACTAAACAAATACTTTTGTCTGCTCGCCATTAGGGTATAGCTAAGTTGGTTGAAAAGGTTGAGCAATGCCCGAGTTATATGTTGTGTTCCACTTTGCTCTTTGAACTTCCAATTTGGTTCTAAAACTCCTAGAACTTTCAATTTGTGTCGATCCCCCTCCTGTTAGTTATGTCCATTAATCCATCAAATTGAGGGTTCTTTTTGGCCCCTTTAGTTCAAACTTGTTTTAACTCACCTTCACCATGTATGACCCGAGTCTCTCACCCAATTTCATGACTTGCGTGTTGAATCGAGAATGAGGGTTTGAGGTTGAGAATAATGAGGGTTTGAGGTTGAGAATATTGGGGTCAATGCTTGGTTAAGACATCAATTGGGGTCAATGCTTGGTTAAGACATCAATTGAAGTATACGGCCCCAAAAATTAGTCATGTGCGCTGTGCATGATGGAAACTAGCGGAAAATTGTAACAACGCTGAATGTTTGAGGGATATTGACACAAGCTCAAAGTTGAGAAGGAAAAAACAAATTGAAAGTTCGGACATTGTGTTTCTTATTGTACGCGTGGCTTTTATACTTTATCACGCGTATTTTGAACCAAGTCACAGCACCGACCTTCATTTTGAACATAAAAGAGAAGACCGTTGTCGCTAGAACGCTTCCATTCCCCTCCTTTTATCGTCTCTCTCTTTCTCTCGCTCTGTTTCTCTGCAAACCCTAAATCCTGAACACTGCACTGCACTCCTTAGTTTCCAAAACTCTCTCTCCCCCCCATTCTCTCTGTTCTCTGCAACGAGCGAGGCGAGTTTTGGGTCGAGTGGTTTACGAATCAACGAGTTGTCGCTCTGTTTGTCTGCAACGATCGAGTGGTTTTCTGGGTTCAAGAAGGAGCGAGTTCTCTCTCTTCTTCTCTGCAACGATTTGTGATTTCTGGGTTTTAAAAGTAGCGAGCGAGTTCTTTCACTCACTCACTGTCCAACAATTATGCGAATTTTGGGTTTTGGAGTCGAGAATCGAGAATGGCGTTGTCTACTCGAAATCGAAAGCGTAAACAATTGGGGGATGGCGTGGCTCCGTTTGAGTTTCCGTTTCAGACCCAGAAGATCAAGAGGGTTTCTAGGATTTTTGAGACCCAACAGAATTTAGCCGTGGAGAAAAAGCCGACTACTTCTCTTCCTCTGCGCAAGGGTTTGTCGCCCAAACAGGTAAAGACCATCCCTTTGGCTTCGTCTCCTAGAAAGCATAGAAAATCGGAAGAGTTAGGTTTTGATGGTCTCTGTCAGACCCAGAAGATCCAGAGGCAGAAACTAGGTTTTGAGTTTGATTGTTCTGAAATTTTGGGGTGTATGATGAACCTCCGCCATGTGAGTAGGTACTTTGAGAAGCCTGTGGTCGATCCGGTTTATTTCCATGACATCTGGAGACCAATGGATTTCGGTACTGTGAAATCCAAATTGGAGAGGGGTGTCTACTCCAGCCCTGATGGGTTTGCTGCTGATGTGAGGCTTACCTTGTCAAATGCTTTAAGATATTATCCGCCTGGGAGGATTGAGCGTGCAGCAGCCAAGCGTCTCAGTGGTGTTTTTGAGAGCAAGTGGAAAGAAGCCCTGGAGAAAAACCCCAAGTCTGTTTGTCCTTCTCCTCTGCCCAAAGTCAAGTGTTTGGCAGTGTTACCCAAACTGAAACAGGTCAAGACCTCTTCTCCTTCTAGCGTTCTTCAAAGTCAAGGGCTTGGTGTTTCTGATTCTCAGTCAGTTGATTCAACCAAACACGATGAGTTGGCCACCCTTGTTGATAATGCCATGGATCAGGCCTCAGAGAATCTTTCCCAATGTAAGGTTGTCCGAATTCATGCACTAGAGCTACGACTTTCAGGTACAATATTGAAAGCAAACAAGATACTTAAGGGTGTACCTGATTCTCCACCAAGGAGAAAATCGATGCAGCGGATGAAGCAAAGGGAGTCGGCTCGCTGTGGCATTTCCAACATGAAGAAGTCAGTGCAATTTGAGGATCCTTTACAGGATCTCAAACAACTTGAGATGCTGTGTGGCTGTGGCAGTGAAGATCCTTTTCTACAAGTCCGCCTCGGATTGCCGCTTAAGAAATTGGGTGTATTCCTCAGGGAAGATGATGAGTTGCAAGGTCAGGATGAGGAGGCCTTTTTGAATGGAGATTGGAAGGAGAGATCTGGTGGGAGGAAGGCGAGATCTACTCTTGAAGTATAGAAACTGGCCACCTTGGCTCTGTTATTTGTTGTATATGATATGATGTATAGGTTACAGTTTCCACTTTATAATTGATTGATTAGAAATTCTTTAATTTCTAAGAATAAAGAAATTGAGGATGTGATTTGAATTTACAAATTTTTTCCAAGTTGAATGATATTATTGAAGTTTCTATTTCTGTTTCTTCTCTAATTGGAATTTGTTTCTGGCTCTAAGGTGGAAATTATTACTTTCCAGGTAAATTTTGGCCATATACGTTATACAGACAAGGCGTAATGCATACCCTTCTAGGAAAGTTCGTCTCCGATGGATTCAAAGTCCTTCGACTCTGATGGATTCAGGGGATTCAAAGTCCTTCGACTCTGATGGATTCCCCCTGAATTGGTTTACGATAGCTTGTAGTAATGGCCGTTTGACATCAATCACTGTAAATGATGCTGGCCTGGTTGGTGAGTTCAGCTCTTCAGCCATTGCTGGTCTTAAAATGTTTCCCAATTTGTCGATTTCAAACAACCAGCTGACAGGAACAATCTCAAAGTTGAGGTATAAATTTGTTCGAGCTAATGGATTTGTTGGGAGAACGAATAAGAATCAAATAAGTTTGAGGGCAATAACAAACAAGGTAAAGGGTATTCAATCGATTCACCAGAACATACGACCCATAAAATGATGGTAAAACCTGCTACAACAGTAATTTTCTATGTTTGTTCTTTTTGTTGGTACAGTACACCATTTCCCAGACTACATAAATCGCGACGTCCAACGTTATACTTATTTGACAGACATTGAAACAATAAGTGAATACAAAGGAGTTACACTGCAATGAAATTGGGACTACGTTTCTGTTATCTGTATTCTTGAAAGTTGACATGCCCTGTCGCTCGTGCATGCTCCACAGCCTCCTGAATATTCATCAAAATTTATTCAGTATACTAAGAATAAAGGAAATCTCATGCGCACAACCACAAACATTTAGAAAATCAAAAGAGGTAAGTCAAGAAATAACCGTCTGGCCAACTAGTCCAAGTTGGCACACCCCACAGCGCAAAGTGAAGTTGGCAGTGTCGGTGTATCTCCTTTTACTGAGAAGCAGCATCATGGTATTAAGGCATAATCATGGTATGCCTGAGCTATAAGAGTAGTAGGCGCACAAAATGGAACTAACAGCGACGAAACACGCATGACCTCAAGCATTTTGATAACTTAGTCAGCAAAACACCAGAAAAAAGTTTACAGAAAATTAATCTTTTTATCCCCTTTTTTCTATTGGATAGGCATGGATTAAAAACTTTACATACAGGCTAAACACATCTGACATGCCCTATAGTTCTCAATCATCTTAAGTCGAGAACAATTTTATTGATTATTATTTTGAAATGTTCATAAACCAGACTTTACATGCACAGAGTAATAAGCATGCACTGTGGTACTATTCAGGTTCAACAACTAGGATTCCCTCAGTACATAGAGATCAGGAAATTTTTTTCCAAGACTGTACTAGAAGTTAAAAACTATTGTCTCTTCAACTTGTATAGGTTTGTAAACTAGGTTGGTTGATGTAAAGTGAACTAGAAAACTTCTGCACACTGAACTACATGTGTAGAGTGGAAGTATCAGAAATAATCCCTAAATCACATGCTCTGTATCTTTTATCATCTCAACGTGCTAATTTCAGACTAAAAGCCTAAGGAACATTTCATGTTTTCACATATTATGTGTAGTAGTATTTGTGCGTGCACTATGGATATAAGCCACCATGAAACCATAAGCACTACCTTTGTTGCTCTTTCACAAGATTAAGAGCGAGCCCCTCAACTGGCCCAATGGTACTGTCCCTAACTGCAAATATAGTCTGATCAAACTCCTCTGGAGCTCCCTCAAAGGGTGACATCTGATACAATACAATGCAGAAACCAATGACCATTAACTGGAAAAATTAAATCTCAATCACAAACAGTGGAGAGCTAATGTCTACAAATAAAATAGCTTTAAAATCAGTAACTATCTTCATTTTAACATATATTGAAAAATTATTTCACATCAATTAGAAATCAGGAAAAAGTACAACTCGAAAAGAGCAAGAGCCAAGACCTATGAGGCAAAGTCTCTCAGCACATAGGTAAAGAGAGCGTGGGAAAAAGGGAAGATTCAATAGCCATTGTGCAGTATGTGTTGTTGTGAAAGAGATTAACATTAGATTCATTAGGGAGATACAGAGGTGCGGCTCTCAGGCTATTTGAGTCCTATGTGCTTACATGTTAAAAACTCAAAAAACATAGGGGAACTTGGTTGGATGCTGAAAATTTGGATTTATTTAAGGGCATTTCGGTAAAATAAGGAAAGTGCATATGTCCAAAAATTGGCCCTACTTGAGGCCATAGTGAAGCCATTTCTTAATTATCCGTCCACATTGATAACCAGTAAACTAAGAAACAGAAGATTAACATAAATCATCAGAACCACATACAGCTAAAGCATCGTAATGAAGCCCATCATAGATCAGCAGAGCCCTTTCGGAATACTTCTTCTCCTGTCAACAGTACCCCATACAAAAATGAGCATAAACATTCAGAAATGGAAAGCAGACAAGATTAATATACATGAGAACTCACTACTAATGCTAACCTGACCATACAAATCACAACGTGTAGTTTGAATATCATATGCTGCAATTTCACGCCCATAATAATCTGCTAATATTGAAAGCTCTATGGCACCTGAACAACAGATTTCAAAGTAACATTAAGCAAGCGAAATCTAATGGTATCCCAGTGCTGGATTGGGACAGAGAAGTCAACAATAGAAGAAAATCATTTGAAGTTAATCTTATAGACAAGTAGCTACACAAACTATTTCTTGAACCGTCAAGGCAAAAAAACTTTGTCAAATATATCAATAATGTTCAATACTGTAGAAGAAGACATAAGCCAGTATTGTATAATTAAGGTTTGGAAACTTAGTTGGCTATCAGAAATAACCAAAACTTTCACAGGAAAAGCTTTTCATTTTGCATTTTGTTTAGTAACCACTATTCATATACATAGGAAAAGGAAAGTTTATTTATTTTTAACAGACCTCCCCACTTCTCAGAGTCAAGAATCCAAGCACAATACTCTTCATTTGGTTTACCGAGAAATGCTTCAGAATAATTAGTTGGATCACTTGCTACGGTTGCTGCTATAACCTTCACATCATGGATGACAACAAAATGGTCAGGAAGTATCACACTTATGCATGCTTAATACAAACATGGAGCTATACATGCACAAAAACTCATGGTTTATCGATTGTTGTGTACTTTTAATCCCTAAATGTTCATATACCTGTCTCAACTCAGGAGCTTTTTTCTTGTCATGGTCCATAACATACCTACAAATGAAAGGTGACTATTGAATAGAAAAATTGACCTTAAATGACGCAGTTCAGTTCATTGCAAAAAACAATGGATAGAATGGAAGGTTGTATTGGAGCTCACCCAACCGCATTGAAGAGGCAACTATTGTCTGAGGGAATAACCCTTCTTACTACAATACCTTCCATATTTTAAATATTTATATATACCTGAAACATTTTAACAATTTGAATATTTCAAACGATGATGGTTTTATAATAGACAAGCACAAGCCAAAGAGCTGACATAAGGAAACACATGAATATTTAATACAAAAATAAGGACCCAAAAAGCATTGAACTCCATAGAAGTGGTTTGTGTGAAGAAGGAACCATTTGTGCTTACAAAGGAAAGGAGAACAAAGGTTATTAAGATACAAAAAAAAAGATAGGAGTCCAATCAAAAGTAAACAGCTACAGAAAAAGAAAAGAATTACACATAAAAACTTCCTTAAGACTGAATCCTAAAGTTACACAAGTATGAGACTATAAAAAAAAGAAGGCTGAGGACTCGAACAAAACCCAGCATCACATACTCAGCAGCAGACAACCAAGTACCAACCAGAACCAGATTCAATTACTGGTAGCGGCAGGACATGATTGAAAACATTAAAAGAAAAGGAACAAATATAGTGTACAGAAATGAAATTTTACAAATTTGTATTAGGATTGAATCTGAAATGAATGAAAAAAATGAACTTTAAAGAATCCATACTCTTTATCAGTTCTTTAAGGTGCCAATAAATGAACCTCATATGTCAAAAGCCTACCCAGAAAACCACCCAGTTATGTGCACCCATAAACAAAACATATTATCGAAATAAATCCTCAAATAATTCCACAAAGGAACCAACCTTCAGACTCAGAAACCCAATACCAAAGCTATAAAACAAAACCAGAGCTGGATTTGAAACCACCCAAAAGCATAAATTGAAAGAAGATGACAAATAAATAATGTGGCAATGAAATTTCCAGATCCAGTAACAGTATTTGTACCAAGAGCAGCATATTCAAATAGACATGACACAATTTGGAAGAGAAGAGGAAAACAGATAGGAAAAAGAACTCACTCTGTTTCTTCCTTTTTGGTCAATAAGGTAACGGTAGTTGAGCCAATACTTTGACGATGAGGTGGTGGTTGCCTGCCTGGTTTTGGCTATGGCCTCTGTATTTTGATGTCGTCTTCCTTTTTTCTTTTCCCTTCTTTTTATCGGTAGAGTGGGATGATTACAAGTTAGAACCTGATGCCCAGGTCCCACTAAGCCTTAACGGGAGCGGATCTACTGTCCAAAAAATTACATGTACCGTTGTGTCCCCTATTTAATTATTTGACACATGTCCACCCACTTAACCCTGAATTAACACCGTTAACTTAATAAAATTTTGAAAGAAAAAACCAACACTATAGCAGCAGCAACCACCCCTGGTGACCTTCATGCCACTTCCCCTTCCTCCCCTTCCCTGACCTCCTCCCTTAGAGCACTTCCACCAGTTAGCCCTAGGGCGGGTACTATTCACGTGAATAGTGGCTGCCCTAGCACAAAAAAAAATTGTGTTTCCAGCAATGCAAGGCTTGCCATGGCAAATACTATTCATTTTTTTGTTTTTTTCACAACTTTGTTTACTTAAACAATTAATTTGGATAATATTTTCGGATAAGATTTTTGGGTTAAAAGTCAGTATTGGTTGGTATTTATAGAAAAAAAAATTCAGTATTTTTTTCGTATTTTTTTAAATTTTTTCCGATTTTTTTATTTTTTTATTGGGCAAAAAATTGCCTGCCGTTGGATTGCTGGAAAAAACTAATCGGAGAGCCCAGGAGCTTCCACGTGGAATAGAGCTGTTGGGGGTTGCTTTTTGGATTTTTTTTATTCGCGAAAAAATGGCTGCCGTTGGATAATTTTAAAAAGCAAATCGGATGGCCCAGCATGCGACACGTGGAATCATGCTGTTGGGCGGCTACTGTAGCGCTCGTCAAATTTTTTTTTAACCGGGCGTGTGCATTGCACGTGCCAACTTTAAAAAAATTTAAACAGCAGCGCTGACGTCGTCAGCCCAAAACGAGTTTTGTTGCTCGGGCTGGACCTCCCCAAGGGCTAGCCCAGGCAAATTTTTTTGCTGGGGCCCACACCTTGCCCTGGCAGATTTGTGTTGCTGGAAACACCATTTTCCCCCAGCCCCCCCCCCTCCCCCCAGGGCCCTTGCTGGAAATGCTCTTAGCCACAAAATCACCATATACCAGTACTCTCAATTGAGAAACCCAAATTTGAGGGGAGATCGGGAAGAAGAGGAGGAGGTGGTAGTGGAAGAGAAGTGGGCAGCAGGGTGGAGGTTGTGTGTGGCTTAGCTGGGGGGGCTGGAACCAGCGAGGTTTGGTAAAAAAGTTTATATTTATATATAATAAAAAATAATATATATAAATTATTTTATTATTTTATAAAATAAATATAAATCATAAATAAAAATAATTAGTTTAAATTTCTTTCTCGTTTCTTTTTTAACTGTTCTTTGTTTTATTTTTCGTGATTTAAGAAAGAATTTTCAGAGGAAAGTAAGCCTATGACAGGAATGTGAGTCAAGATTTAAGGAGTCTGACGGTAAGTTAATAGGCCTTATAATGGATCTCATTTTTAAATCTTCCAAAGAACAAGGCTTTTTTCGAATAAGCCAATTCATTTGGGACCTGCGAATCTACTCTTTTTCCTATTCAAAGATCAGCCTTGGGTACTTGGGTGGGGAATTGGGTTTAATTTCTTTTAATTTTTATTTTATTGAAAGTAAAGTTAACAGTGTTAATTTTGGGGTTAAGTGGGTGGCCACATGTCAACAAATTATACAAGGGACATGAAGGGACAAGAAAAAGAGAGACAGCAGATCCCCTCCCGATGTGAAATTGGTCCTATGTTTGACCTCTTTGGCAAATTTAGTTCGTGTTTTTCAAATTTTGTCTCGTATTGCTAATTTTTTAATTGATTTAAAAAATATTTATTAACTTTTAACAGAAATTGGACAAAAATATTTATTAATCTGTAACCATGAAATTGGAACTGAAACTGAAACTGCAGCCCAACCGATTCGAGCCAGTTCAGTTGGACTCATATAATAATAGAGAGATAAATAACCAAGCTAAACCACCCTAACCAGTCATTCCGGTTTGGCTGGTTCCGCCGGTTCATCAATTTTTTTTCCCCACCTTAGGCGCAGCTAAAAGCCAAACAGAACAAATCACAAGAAAGCCTGAGAAGAAGACAAACTTATTAGAACATACACAAACACAATAAAGTGAAACGTATGCGATACGTGAACACATGTGGAGTGGTTAGATGTTCATCTGCAAAATAAAACATAATAGATTGGGGGCTGACTTGAAAAGGTCATTTGAGTTACATGATGTGACAAAAAATTGCTATATACAAAATGAATGCGACACATTGTCTAATTAATTTACATATACAAAACTCATGAAACATATTGCCTAGTGTCATAAGCTTTGGCGTCCTGAATATATAAACAGTGTGGCTCTAGTCCCCTTTTAATTTCAAAACCACCAAACAGATGAAGAAAAAGAGAGGCACAGGAGACAGTTTCATTGGATTACTATGATGATGATGGAGGAAATAATACTGCACTGCCGAGCAAACACATTGAATCACGGCAAGTCCCAATCCAAAAATGTCAGGCAACATACCAAAACCAGGTCTATTCGGAGACGCATCTTTGTCCTTTATACCATTGTGAATGAGCTCCAGGATGCAAGTAAGTACGGCCGCAATGGCCAACAGCAAACTGATTAGTGCATAGAGAGGCGTACTTGCGGAGGAAACCTGATCGAAACCGGCTGACAACATTTCTAGGCTCAAACCAACGAGCATAAAGGTCAACCCTAAGGCAGTTACCTACATAGAAGTTAATAATCACTTCAGTTCGAAATTAAAATGGGTGTCAAATAAACCTCACAGGAGATATTAACAAAATGCTATAGTTTAATATGAGTATAAGTTTTGAGCATCACCCTTGTCCTGTGATGTGGCTGGCCAAAATCATTATGTTCATCCTGCGCAATGTTAATCGCTAGATACTCACTAGGATTTGAAACAGAAGGGCCCTGCCATTATGAACTGTAGCCTTATAACTACTTATAAGTCAAATTAAAATCATAAAACTGCTTATCGCACAAGAAATAGTGAAAAGAGGGAGTTGATTATGGTCGTGAGTTTTTACCACTTCACTTGCCAGATTGCCCGGTTCGTCATAGTCGGTGCCATTGCGAGGACCACTGCTCGGTAAAAGCGAGTCACTAAGGTTGGAGTCATCAGATCCCTGATCA